AATGCAAAGGTAACTCATTTGCCCAGAGAGAATCATCTTCATTTCCTGATTAAATGCAATCAGAGTACTTTTGCTGGCAATCTAGTCTAATTTAAAAACTATCACACCAAGTGATCACTGTTAATAACTACCAGCATAATACTGCTTTGAAATGAAGGTCAAAAGCTATAGATTAAAAGCCAAGACAGGATAATAGCTCTACTGTTGGAAAGAGCCCTTTGCTCTAATCCAAATGATCGCTATGACAAATATGCATAGTAGATATTTTATTCACCCCTCACACTAGTAACATTAGCAAAAATGCAATGGAGTGATATGTCTTATCAACCTTTCCATTTGCAGAACCTTGGATTATACTGCTTATGGAAGTTAACAGAATTTCTTACTGTAGAATGATTCATTCCATACAAAATTTGTGAAAAAGTACATCAAAATTGTGTATATATCAGGCTGTCCTCAAGCCCACCATTATGGACAAGGGAAAAGTATCACTTAAGTACATTTGCACTGAAAATGCAAAGAATGAGCCCCCAGAATGAAAAAGAACAGTGTTAGGGTAGGTACCACCCCTAGCTTTGCCAGTCACACGTAGTTTCGTTGGCAATGGATCAGTCTAGTATCAGATTAGACAGGTAGGTTTCACACCACTCATTTGTCATCAGCTCTCACCCTTTTTTCTTTCATGATGCAAAGTAATGGAGAAATTTTTTTCCTACAATCAATAAAAATAATCAGACACCACTTTTTTTTTTTTTTTCATTTTTTCATCATCATTAGTTATGAAAGTAGGTGCAATGCTAAATCACAGGAAATGGGTCCTGTCATTCATGCCCAATATCTCTCATGTCTTCCCCACAATCTCCAAGTGCAGTATCCTGGTAGCTCTATTCTCTACATTGTGCAAGGACACACTTTTCACAATGTTCCTCCCATGCTCATTCTGCAGAGGTCTGGATAGTTCTTGTTCTTACATTATTCTGATGGTATAATAGTAATATAGCTACTGAGACCCTAACAGCACTTTCACAATATCAGTTTTCTGCTCACATCATTTGTGAGACCAACTGGTGCTCTTTCTGTGGGTAACGGTGATTGTCATCAGCACTGCTATGCAGACAGCTGTAAGGAGGCTGTGCTTTCAGCCTGGACCTCCCAGTTGCCCAGTCTGATGCCCGTGGTTTGTTTTCTCAAAGGGCACTCACCTTCAAGCAGCACAGCAGCTGAGAGCAGGGAGTACAAACCCTGTGTCTAATAATAATAAAATAATAGGCATACACGCCGACACAAGACCATTTTTAAGCAACCACAATTCACACTAAATAGGAACCTTAGTTCACAGAAAAAGCATTAGCTATTTTTTATAAAGCCTCATGATAGTAAGTCTGGTGAGGATGTACTAAGATACATTCTTTTGTTCACAAGTAACAAAGAGCATTAACGTCTGCTTCAGTTTCAAATCTCTCTGCAGCCATAACAAAGTCACTGCTGTAGCACATCCATAATCTGTAGTGCATTTTGAGATTCTCAGATGAAAGACCCTATATAAGTGGAAACTGTTATTATCCATATAGCAGACAGATCTCAGTTCCACTGTAATTTGCTGTTCTCCTCAGGGGGCTCAGGCATGTGAGCTGTTAAGTACTCTCCACTTCCATTGCGACTCCTTGGAGCTGAGAGCACTCAGCATCTCGGAGGATCAAGCACAGAACTGAGTCTGGGCTTCAAACCCACAACCTTATGCAAAGCGTCCATCAAGGTTTTTAAACTATGCTTTGGGCCATGGAAAGGGAATTAGGAAGAAGATATGTAACAGGAACATTAGGGAAATGGTAAAATGCAATAAAACTGTAAAGTTGTAAACTACTTAAATCATTAAAATGGTTATTACTGTTTGAAGACTAGACTACTGAAATTACTGTCCTCCCATCAGATAACTAAATAAAGCACCACATAAAGCGAGAGACAATGTACCAACCATAAAACTCCCATAACATCAACAATGAAATATATTTTTTAAATTACACAAAAAATGAAATAATAATTACAAGAGCATTAAATGTAAAAAAAAGGTGAGAAATTCAAAATGTACATGTGCGTAAACTGAAACATTTGCTTTGTTTTGCTCAGTGCACACACACAAAGCAGTAAATTTCTCACTAAGGGTTTTGGGTTTTCCCACTTCCTCCCTGCCCCCACTGGGAACAGCACAATTTCAAATCCTCAGTATTTCCATCTCTAATTGCTAGAAGGGTTCATTATCAGCTGTCTAAAGTGCAATACATCAACCTTGCAAAGCTGATATACAAAAGACTTTCACACATCTGATGGGCTGCTGTGCTAAATACATCTTAATTTGTGCTGCATCTGCTGTTTTCTAATTTGTTTGTCATGCTGTGAATGCTACAGACTTTGCTACAGCAGCTCCCTGATTTTTTATTTTTAAAAAACACAGCAGCTATTCAGGAAAGAAATGGCTGAGTGCCACCATTGTTCCTCTGATTCGTAGAATGACATCAGTTCCCTTATATTAACCATTAAATGCTTGATGATATATGTTTAATATAATACACGCACAAGCTACCATGTGTCTCAATATACAAACAGTATGTATATGTGTACTATTTACATCTTCTCTGTTAACATTTGCTAGATAATAGATCTCTTCAAACCAGTTTATCTACATTTAAAAGAACACCTCATTTAAGCTTCTCAATGTTCTGTGTGTTCTCAGTTTTTACTGGCAAGCCTTTTTTTTTTTTGTTGAAAAACTGGAAGAGTGCTGTTAAAACTCTAAATCTTAATGATTCTTGTACATGAATGAAACCTAGTGCCTTTTTTACATATGGAATGGAATTTCATTGAAACCACCTACAAACCTGAGTAAAATGAGTCTGGAGTTCTCTGTTCAGTCCCTACTGAGCTGAAAAGCAAATAGTAGAACAACATGTGTAATTCAGCATGTTTCATAATACATCAAAGACTGTACAGAAGAAGCCTCAGCTTGAGCTGGCAGAGAAATTAAATTTCTACTCATCCCTTCTTAAAGTGCAGAGTTTTCCCAGGTATAGTGGGCACTAACATAAGGCAGAATGTGATGAATTTTTATTGAAACAGCCTGTGCTGTCACTAGCTTTCACAATCACAAAAATCACATATACCCCTTCTCCAAAAGTAAGAATGAAGCACCAAGGGGTATTTTGCACACATTGTCCTGAAACTTCATAGGTTTCTAGGTTAGAAAAGAACACACTTAGCATCACACATCCTCCAAGAGTTGTTGATCTCTCAGAACCCTTTCCCTTAGCAAGGCCAATTCACTGCCAATCATACCATCACCAAAATCATCTTTCAAAGAAATTTAAAAACATGTCACTGAAAAGCAGAATCTTGCCATTGCCAAATTTGCACATTATGTATGCAAAATAAAATACCATAACCCAAACCATAAATGTCATTGTAAATAGCATCCCTTATTTGTTTATGTGTAGCTACTGGCTCTTTCCAGCTAGACAAGAAAATGTGTCTCATGCAGAGTATGTGACATATAATAAAGGGATAACTCCCTTTGTTTCAGCACAGCACTCACTTTAGAGGAGCAGCTGGAATGCAAATTGGCTTCTCCTGCTTTTGCAGTATGACTCCTGACACTCAAGACACGGAGAGTGATTTACATAATCATAGAATCATAGAATGATAGGATCATTTGAGTTGGAAAAGACCTCTAAGATCGAGTCCAATTCTTAACCGTGCATTTCCAAGACTGCCACTAAATCATGTGCCTTAGCACCCTATCCAGTCCATATTTTAAATAACTCCAGGAATGGTGACTCAACCACTTCTCTGGGCAGCCTACTCCAGTGCTTGCATCAGTCTCCAGTTTCCAGCCCAATGCCAATCAATCTCCAGTGTCAAGTCCTCACAAGAATGTGCAGCAGCTATTACAAAGACAGCTTTTATGACTGGGGAAGCCATAGACAAATCAGCGCTACCATAAAAGGAATATGTTTAATCAATAAGGTATATTGTTCGAATGGTGTGGAGGAAAAAACACCAAAACTAACAGCATTTGTAAAGGTTAATCAATTCAGCTAATTGTAAATGCTCTTTGTTGACAGTCTCTAAACAGTTACTCCTCTTTGTAGCAGCTAATTCACTGGGATGTAACAATGCTAAGCTGGAAAGGAAGGACGGGAAGAAAAGCAGTCAAATTTCTCATTACTCTCTGTACCATTCTCCCCCTCTGTCAGTAACGTCAATATATTTACCAGAGGGAGATAATCTTTTCTTTCTGCTAGCATTGTCTTACCTCCTTCATTACACAACAAACAAAGCAAGAGGTCTATGCTTCATGGCCCAGGAAGACGAAAAGGAAATCAGGATATTGATCTTTTTGTTCAGTTCTTTAAAGGCCAAACGTATGACTAATCAGAGAGATAGTTTTTGCAGTGCTCTTTATTTCACAGCCATAAAGATTTTTTTTTGTTCTCAAAGATTGTTTCCTGTAGAAAAAAGGACAGTCAACATGATTCTGTGCTTCCAAGAACTAAAGACAGGTACACACTACAACAAAGGAGATGAAGCCTGATTTCAAATTTTTTCTCTAGACCAATTTAAAATCAGCCTATGAAGGTAGATTGATGGTCTCTGACATTTGTGAGCTGTGCAGTTGTTTGTTGTTTATGAAAGAGCCCGGAGTTTTCCAAAGTGATACCTGGTTCCACTTCTGTATCCTGAGTTTCAAATACAAACAGCTTTCATTTAGACATCCACCTCAAATAATGCCAAAGTTATCACACGGGCTTTAAAGCATTGTTTGGTTTTGTCCCTGATGTATTTCTGGTGTTTTCAGCAACTGAAAAATATTAGCATAATTTAATTTTACTTTTGCAAAGTCAGCCAGAGGTCAGAGATTTCAGGTCTTCACAGAATCAATCGATATTGATTAAAGGTCAAAGCAAGTCCTGAAAACACAGTGAGCACTCCCACCAAACAAAGCACTGTCCTTCCTGTAGCAAAAAGAAAATGAGAACAGAGTGAGAAATAGCAGCTTGTCTCATCGTTTTCTGCCTTCAAAGCCACAGCTGCCAACACTGTCCTTCTCCTCTCTGTGCCAGCTCCTCCTGGATCACTGCAGCTGACTGAGCCCACTATCTGCTTGGACATTTCTCAGGAAGAAAACTGGACATTTTTTCCCTTGTACTTCAAAAATCTCAACAGAGGCTATACTTGTCAAAAGCCTGGACCAGGCTCTGAGGATCGGTTACAAGGACATATCCAGGAAAAATACATATTCATACAAGGTAATTTGGCTAAGGTTATCGTATCAGTGCTCCAACCTGATGAGTATTTCATATGACACTGTTAGCTGTATGATTGGTTTTGTTGTTTATAAGTAGATGGTCTGATATTTGCCTCTTGCTTTTTATAGAGAGGTCTGTTCCTGCTATGCATATCATTAATATGTCAACATTTAAGTCAAATGATTAAAACCAAAAGGTGTTACATCGACTGAGGAAATATCTGAAGTACAAATTTTTAATTTGCTGTGTTAAATGAGTTTGTATCTTTCTTTCAAATTTCTAGCAGGAACATCTGGTAAAATGATAGGCTGGGATAGAACAAAAGAAACACCATTATGGAAAGTGTGTTTTCTTACTCAGAAGTGCTCTTCTTAGAGCAAAAATCAGTTAATAAATCAGTTGTTTATTTCACTCAAATAATTACAACTTAAGAGCACTGAGCAACTTTACAGCTTAAGGAACATTAAGGAAAAAAACTACATCTACATAGCAGCCCAGCGATGCCTAGATGTTGAATAGCCTAAAAGATGTTGTGTCTGTCAGTTGTGCTCTTCCTAAACCATAAGGAACCTTTTCTCCTGTCACTATTATATTGATGTAACCTTCTGAGTGGTGGTGTCATAACTTTGAGGAGAGCCTCCTAGCCTCATTTAGGCAGCTGCCCTAATCTTGAACACCTACCTTTCACACAGCAAAGGAACCTATTACTCAGTTTATATTTTTTCTGCTTCTCACCCTTGTATTCTTCCCTGTTAACATATTACTACCTCTTATACCTTCTCCTCTGCCCTTTCTCTTCCTCCACCCACTTAATTTTACTTTTTTTAAAGAAACAGTTTAATTTTCTTTCCAGATGGTAAATTTTTACATCAGTTTAATAATCTCTTGAAGGTATACTGGAGTATTGCTCAACTCACTTCTAAATTAAAGCGCTTATTAAAAAACTTTGAAGCACTTTAACAATTTTAAATCACTGCACACATAGCAATTTAAAATTATTGGAGCAGTTTTATAAGCACTTGAATTTGGAGGTGATCAGAGACCTGAAAATGTGCAATATAGAGTAATTTAAAATTATTAGAGTACTTCACATTTTTTCATATACTTCACATAAGCTTTTCAGTTTGGAAGTAATCGGGTTATGACTTGTGAGCTTGCGTATCGTAATGTGAATGCTTCTTATTCTTCTTCAAGATACAGCCTGTTAAATCAAACTGCTTCAGTAATTGTGAATTGCTATACATGGACATGTTCAGAAATCTAACATTACTTCTTAAATTAAAAATATTTTTCATTCCAAATCTGTAAGAAAGACTTTAAAGTGACACAATGACAATTTATTTTTTTTTTGGAGAAGGCTGTTTTAAGTTTTCCCAGGATGAAAACAAACCAAAACGTCTAAATAAAAATACTTAAAAGAATATTTTTATGCACCACTACTATGAACATTCAACTATATTCAAAATCAGCCTTCCTCATGTACACAGTAATTTATATTAAACACTAAACACCCCTTAATTTCATGAATAAAAATTTGTCAGATCAACCTTTATATACAAAACTAAGAGAGAATAACGTAGGAATAAAGTTGTGGATTTCCAGGTTGTTCATACAGGTGATTAAGTGTAATCCCATTACAGATTTTAAAAACTTCTAGTTATTCAGTCAAAAAATGTACTTTTGTACTTGATTAGGATAGCATTTCTCAGCCTCTTCTATCAATAACAGAAGGAGCCCATCTAGAAAACAGTCTTAAAACAAAAGCTTCATAACAATTCAGACTAGATCACTGTGTAGGCATTTTTGCATGCGTACAATGTAAACATACAAAATATAGGATACAAAAAAATACTCTTTCAGGTATTTTGCAGGAGGCAGTTCAGGTTGGTTTTTTGCCAGTGGAAAACTTCAAAAATTATGTACTGCAGAGAGGTCAATAGAAGACTATGCTTGCTAACACAACTGGAAACAATGAGAAGTTAATATTAATTGTGAAAGAGCTGAAATGCTGTTACTTCAAAGTACTGCAAGTCATACAGTGCACCGATCAGAAGAAAGCAAATAAGAGCACATTGAAGCAAGTAATGCCAAGTAACTTTCCATAAAATAAAACACCTCTAAGAGTTCAGTGAAAGGGCAACAGTAGCAAGACTACAGGGCTCTCTGGTAGATGAAAGCATTAAAGTCAGATCTGAGAGTGCATATATTTGTGTTTACAATTCATGAGCTATGTTCCTTTCTATATTAAAACTGTAAGAATGAAATACTGGATGATTGGTCCCATGAACAACCAGATTTCAGACAGGCAGATGGTATTAAACACTAATGCCAAAATAGCATCATAATTAATTATCATATATCAGCAATAAATTCTCTATCTAAGGCAATACTTGGTGATTCAGTGTTTATAAAATGTAAGGCAATGATTTAACATGCAATGTTTGCATACCAGGCTGCAAATATGATAATCATGTGACATTTTTTTAAAGAATCGCTTTTAGTTATCAAAAAATGAAAAAGCAGAAAAGAGTAAGCTAATTGGTCAGGCAATTTGTGTTTCTCAGAGAAGGCTGTGCAACTGAGACAGGTGAATTTAATGCAACCACAAATATCTTTCTTAGCTTCTAGAAACAGAAGTTGCTTGACAACGTAACCTAACCCAGAGGTTTGGAGATGACTGTGAACTAAAGCATTCAGTAAAGACCCAGAGAATTATATAATGCACAATACTGTGGAATAAAGTGCCTGTCATGGAAGTTTCTTTCTCTAGTGCTTTCACAAAGTAGTAGTTTTGTGCCCCAAATTACAGGAAATTATATCACTTCCTATGAAAATACTCATGCCGCTAGATGTATATTTGTTCACATAATGTTTCTCACAGCATCCCACGGAGCCCTTCATATACTAAAGAATTACACAAGTTAATGCTCTATATTGCACTGAGCTCTGTACAAAAAAGTTTCCATTTATCTGTTTCAAATTCCAGTCTTCAATTCCGCAATCATTGAAACAGCAGCTTTGCTATTATACAGGGTCAAGCTTCTTAATATTACTCATCTCTTAAAAATGTCAAACCACTTTTCAATTTCCTTTCATCTACAGTTTGAGTCTGGACTAAATGTCCCTTTCTTCTGTTGTTCCCACAGATGCAACTTCAAAGAGTACTTCAGAAAAGCTTTTGCAGGATTTGTATTTTTCTAAAAGTTTTTTCTGTGGACCTCTCTTTCAATTTTTCTGCATATCTTTAATACCAACACTACTAGAGCTCTTTACCAAAAGATGTTAAAATTTCTTTAGAGACCTCCTGCTGTTTGTTAATTCAGTAGCTATACCACTGAGCAGTTCTTGCAGTCACCACATTAGGAGCCATCAGCTGTTGTAAGCATAAAACCTCAATTGCCTTTCCTCTGCAATACGTATAAGCCCATGACCCAACACTACATTGCAGCTCCTGGAGTCACCCGTGGAAAATTTGCTTCTTTTCTATGAGAAGATGAGTGCCAATTACAATAGTTTGCTGTCTATTTTGCCAGTTCCATTTTGTTCCCCTATCCCTCATTTTAATCCCCTTCTTAGTAAATCAGAGATACACTGCTTTACTCTGGGATGTTTCTATCTAATTCCATCTAATATTGGATTTTGGCTTTGATGCCTTCAGTGTATACACATGCACATATTCCATTAGGACAGGAGCATGCCAAGCAGTAAACTGGATATAATCTAGCTCCGATCTTGAAGCTAAAAATAAACAAATTATTTTACTCTCATTTATCAGTTCATGTTCTGCTGTTTAATTGAGAGCTATGGCTATTCTAGTTTTTTTAACACATTTTATTGACTGCAATCCACTAAACCTTCTCCCCCCTCATCAGCAAACACAGACAAGCTCCCTTGTGGTTACACACTGTGTTGTTGTCACAGGCTTTTTTCAGTTGTTTCACTTTACAAGATCACTCGTCCCTAGTAATACATATATAATTCACATATAAGTGAAATAGTTCCCCAAAAGCCATTCATCCCCAGAGGAAACTGCTCTTTAATTGTTTGTTATGCCCTCTCAGCAAGGAGGCTGACTTACACCATACACGTGCATCATTTTATTTAAATGACATCCTACCTTACTACGAAAGCTGCCAGAACTATTTGATCTTCCTCCACTAAGGCTGCCAACTACAGAAAGCCCCCTGAGAACAAAGCGGCAGATGAAAAAGAAGTGCTGATGCTTCAGGCAATTCTTTTAGCCAGAGCTCTACCAGCAGCAACATGCAGCAGGAAAAAATACATGCTTCAAAGGTAATTACAGCGTGTTGCATCTTTCTGTCTTTATTTAAGATACTTGGGATCAATTTCCTTCCCTTAGCAAGGGGAATTGCAAACAGCACCAACATAAACAACCAAACACCAATCAAGAAAAAGAAGTCTCTCTCCCACCTTCTACCATCCTCTCTGCAAGGATCACACCATGTGATAAATGGCACAAGGCTGATGTCCTATAACAGTGCGTCTCTCAGTCACTCTAGTGACCTGGCCCTTCCTGGCCTCACTCTTTCATCTCAGTCCCCTGACCGGTTAACTTGCAAGACGTCCCAGGTTGCATTGGGATTTTTTGCTGCAGGACTTGGGATCAGCAGTGCCAATGTGCTGCTTTAATGGACAAAAGGGGGAATGGAATTCAGCACTGCATGCGACAATAGCACCTCACGAAGCAATGTAAGACCGAGGCTGAACGAAATTATCCGTTTTGCTTGACAGATGTTTACACAAACCCTCTCTTCACTTTTAATATTTGGGAAATTGTTGCCTGAGGTTTGGTTTGATTTTCAATTTCAAATGAAGCATTAAAAAATATCCCCACAAAGGAAAGCAGAATGGCTGAGTTTCTGAATATTAAACCTCAAAATCACCCCCAGGTTTCTCAAAAAGCTTTATGAATAAGAGAAAGGTGTGTGTGGAAAAAAAATTCATCACCCACCACCCTTTTCCTGAACCTGGGATGAGTTTCAAACCTGTGATAAAATGCAAAACTAGGCAATATTTAGGGTTGGTTTTAAGGTTTCATAATAAGTGGAAGTCACAGGTTTAGATTCAGCCCTAACACTGAGTTTTTATAATAATGGCCAGTCTTCGCGAGCGAAGATCCGGGGAAGGTTTTTACACCTTCCAGCCTGCGCATTGGATTTTTTAGGTGAGACACAGTGTGCGCGGAACTGAGCCCACCCTTTAATCCTAAGGTTCATCTGCCGGGGCCAAGCGAGCTTGGACAGTGGCAGCGAGGTCCTTAGGACGTAGGTGGGTTGCCTTTAAGGGTTAACGAGCCCCACCTGCCCGGGAGTGGCCCTGACCGGGAATCGAACCCGGGTCTCGGCAGTGATAGCGCCGCGCCTTTACCGCTAGACCACCAGGGGCTCCATCTAACACTGAGTACGCACATTACATTTACATTATGCCTTGTAGTCCTTCTGATGAAAAAAACCTGTATCATTATGAGAAAGATTATAGTTTGGGTTTTGGTTTTGGTTTTGTTTTGTTTGTTTGTTTGTTTTGGTTTGGTTTTTTGTTTTTTTTTCAGAATTCTCACTAACCTACTTTCTGGAGACTGAGAACAAAAACATATGTCTTTGGCATGGGTTAAAAGGACATGCCATGCAGATCCTTCAACAGGATTACCAAGCAAGCAAAGTTGTCATCTTCAGTATCCAAATCAGGTTTTAATGGCTGCAGAAAACACTCCCAAAAAAGTGTGGGAGTGTATTTTCATGCTTCTTCATGCAGCTCAGACACTGTCAGTAAAGGTTGGAGCTATTTATCTCCATCTCTCATTTTAGTGCTGATTGGAAGAATTCTTTGCAGCCAAGAGCAAGCACAGCACAATTCTGTTTGGGAGAAAGCTGGCAAGGGTGCTGGGTTTTTAAGTGGCTATTACTAATCCACACTGTTAGCACCTGCTGCCACTGCAGCTTATCCAAGAGCAGCACTGGCTCACTAGTTTTCTAGAGTTCTGACTGGAAGTGCCAACAAATGTGGCATGGATGCTGTGCCTAGACAGCAGCTGGAGAAGACCTTAGAGGAGGACCTGAACAAAGCTCATTCACACCAAGGCAACCAATTCAGAAAGCCAGAAAAAAAACCCAGACAGGCAAAGGAAAGTGTACATGTGTCAGGTAACTCATTCTTGCAACACCTCCAGTTTTATAAATCAAATACATTTTGTATATTTATAGACCCATTTCTTTCTTTGAAGGCCAATGACAACCCACAGAGCTCTGCATAGATTTGCCAAAAATAATTACTCTGGTCACTTAGCAAAGCAGAGGATCTGTCATCCAGAAACATATTGCCTAGCAACAGTTCACTTACCCTTCCTCCCTCGCAATGAGCAAACACTGCCTGCCCTCCCCACCCCCACCTTGTTTGTATTGGCTTTCTGGCTGCTGGCAGAAACAACAGCTCACCTGGGTGTAAAACTATTTCTGATGAGAGGACTCTGTGCTGTTTAAGTCCAAGTACATGTGAGAAGTGTAGTTCAAGAAAATACTGGCTGCCAACAAAAGGCACAGTTTCCGTCTGTGATAAAACCTGTCTCACAGTATGCCTGGATAAAACCCACTTCAAATAAGGTCACCATTATTGCAGTTCTTGGCAAACTGTGATGGGGTATGGTGAAGGAAGAGGAGGAAACAAAACCAATAATACCAAACAAGGAACTACAGCACTACCCACAGCCACAGAAAACAGTATTTTCCTCAAAGGTTTTTCATTAGCATATATTTTATTATTACTGCAGTGTCATAGAATTGTAAACTACTTTCTAATTTTGTTTTATATGAAATTATTTAGGCTATGATTTATAGGAAAGAACTATACCATTTCTCCTCCCTCATGGAAACCTTCCACCTTCTTCCGCACACACAGGCTGCACCATTTGTTTTTTAGTTGATGGCTGCCATTAGTGCAGAGCTTTTTTCCCTTTTTTCTAAAAGAAATATTTTGGGCAATTGTACAATTCATGTTGCTAACAACTTTGTGTAACATTCAGGAAACAGTTTGGACATCTTGAAGCTGCATCCTGAGACTAAGACGACACAATTTTCACCCTCTGCTACACCACACACCTTTCCACAGTAGGGAAGCCTCAGACCTGACAGCTGTCCTTACTCTCAGTAGTGGTATAGTTGTTAAGTACCAGCTTTTCCAGAGTTGTATGCACATAAGTGACAATTATCTAGGATGATATTAATACCTTATATTTTCTCTGTGGCTCATCTGTGCTATTTCATAAAGCAAAACTTACATATAGGCTGTAACAATATTTGTCACTGTTTGGCATGCATATAAATTAGTAGACACAGTTCAAAAATAATTTCAGGTTTAGCAATGTCAAAAAGTCCTCAATCTAAACATTTTTCTTAGCTAGTCAGAAATACCCTTTAAAAAAACCAAACCCAAGCCATAAAGACTTATACGTTCTTTTTGAACTGTGACAGTGCTTAACATCTAATCTCCACCCCCCAAAAAACATGAGCTACTAGATACTAATCTTTGTTTAAAATACTGTCAGGTGCCAGTCTTGAAATATATAACTCTGAGACGAAATTTTAATTTCAGTTGCCTTTGAATAACTTAATAGTTAACATTCAGATCACCCAGTAAACAAAGATTAAAAAAGGATAAAATAAAGGAAGAAATATTAATATCCTATGTATTAACATTTCACTATAATGATTATTGGAGTAATCTTTGTTATTCTGGAGTTTATACTTTGTTGTACTGGAGTTATTCTCTGAATTACAGTAGAGTGCCCTTATAGCTGTTTACTATTATGTTTTATTCTATGTTCACATTTTTTTTAAATTGTTTCAAATTTTTGGGGATGTCATCTAATCATTTCAGTATAGGTGCTGCAGTATTGCTTGTCATATCATGTTTCAGTCTGATACAAAATATCTTTCCTTAATCCTCTTGTCCCTACCCATTTGACAGTGATTTTATCTTTTGTTTAAATGTTATAAAAACTAACAGTCTATTGTTGTTCCTGGGCCAGCACCCTTGATTTTTTCAGCTACAATATGAACAGTGTGAGGAGTAACGTTGGGTAGTTAGCTACTGATGAACAAGCTGGAAACTGAAAAGAATACTTGCTCTTGAACAATTTTTTCATTATAAGAAACCTGATTTATTTGTCCTTTTTTTGTTTGTTTGTTTGTTTTTTTTATCCTCAACAGGAAAATGGCAGTTCATTAATGGAAAAGATACAGTAAACCCTTAAAATAGTCTCTGACAAGTTGGAATCAATGTCAATGATTTAAGGCCCTAAAATTTTGAGGTTTTTCTGCTTATAAAGTATTTGGCACATGCATTGAAGATGGGGGGGATGGGGAACCAAAACAAAAACCCTGATTATTGTAAGGTGCTTTACAGCTTTTTTCAGCTCAGTTAGTGACTTATAAAATTATATTTTTGGTGATTAGCATCTAGCCACAGATTGAAAGATGGCCTCTTAGATGTAAATTGACTGCTACAGAAATGTCCATACTGTATGTAACATGTGTTGCACTTCTCCAAATACAAATGCTCATTATAACACCTTCATTATCTTTGATGTTAGTAACATCAGGTTTGGTCCAGCACCACTGAAACATATGGGAATTTTAATATTGATCCCTACAGAAGCAGAAACTCACTAACACTTTTGAGCATATGTCCAGATAGAAAGTCTGAAACACATGTTGAATATAATGCCACACAGAAAAAAACTGAAGTGGAAGAAGTCAGGTTTAAAGTGTGCAGAATGAAAACTAAACAGAATAGAGGACACAGATGCAACAAAGCAGGGTAAAGATGGAACAAACTGAGGATGACTACTAGCAGTGACAAACTGGGCTTTTCAAAGTTCTATATTACAGGGAATTCTGATGTACAAGATGTGTAGTACCAAGAGCAAGCAAAACACAGATTATATAATATTTTAGAAACAAATACTCTTCTGATGGCACAGGAAACATGCACCAAAAAAAATATAGAGACTTTCTCTGCTTCATTTTCCTCTTTAAGCTCATGTGCTATTTAGATTTAAAACAAAGATGCCTAAGATATTCAATCCACTTTCTCTTCAACTAACACGGCTTTCCTTGTAAAACAGGCAGTCTCTCCTCATTTGTTTGCTGCCAATGTCATATTGTGTTTCTTTTTTTCCATTTTGAGGCTGAGATAGTCTCTTTCACTGATGGACTTTTTAAATTCACTTGAACCCACAGTCAGCTGCATCATCATCAAGTAATCAGTCTCCATGTGACTGAATTCTTAGTGTGTTAGTACCCAGAGAAGTGGAACCCAGAGAAAAAATACAGTGTGCCTTAAGCAGCAGAAGTTTTTACATCCAGTGCTATTCCATTCTCAAGGATCAGATTACCCCTTATTCATAATATTTTTATTATTAACCTACAGTTCACTTAGCTTTGACTCAAAGACTTCAGCTTCAGAATGCAGACTTTGCTGGGCTTAAAAGCAGTGCCAGGAGTGCAGAAGTGTCCCAGATTGTTACACAACTCTGTAGCAATGCCTACAACAAGCACTGACAGAAAGTGACCTACTCAAACTACTGGAAAGGAACAATTTACACCAGAGCTGGAGCAAAAAGGGAATTGTTTGGTCTCTGCAAGGGCTACCTGCACCACTTATACCTACACTACAGAATAGTGGAAACATATTTGAAAATTTTCAGCTTAAGCAAAGTCTACTGAGCTAAGTATATCTGTACCCAGCCTCAGTGAATTAACTGCTTGTTCTTGATCTTTTTTCCAGTCACAAATTGTACGTGAACAGTTGCTGATTTTATTAATTTTTTTCTTGGTTAATTTTCAAAACTTTCAATAGCAAAAACTACCTTTGGCTTATTGTATTAAGTAAGCGTTTGTTTTGAACTTCATACTTGCTTATAGTTGTAATGAGGCCATGAAGTCAATGAGAAGCCATGGTGAAGGGAGGAAAGAGCCTGACAAAAAAGAGAGGCTTGTGCCATATGGAGACATCAAGGGATATATCTGATGTGGATGCTGACAGCATTGCTTCTTCCTCCCTGCTTGGCATTTCTGAAAGCCACCTTAGACTTGTGAAATTCTCTCAGGTCTTGCAGTGTAGAACAGGGAACTATTCCCCAGTAAATAAGACATCATTGAGCTCTGTCTTTTCCAAAATGCCTGGAGTTAAAAAACAAAAGGCAGATCTAGCAGTTCTCCCACAACTGCCAAACAGCTGTTTTAATAGCAGACTTGGATGGCTGCATAGCTTAACTCAAATTAACAGGACAGGAAGGGGAACACATGAGATACGAGTAAGTAGATAGAGCAGAGATGACAAATAATGATAAAATTATGATTGAGGCAAGACCTTCCTGCAAGAAAGTCAACACTTTTGTCTTAGCTGGGGCTTGACATTTAACCCTTGCTTGTTTGGCATCCATGCCTGATTAAAAGTTATGAACAACTTGTGAACAGCCATAATGCTATACCAGCAAATGGATATGGTTGAGCACCTGAGCAATTGTGTGTGGAAGAGAACTGAGCAGAGGAGTTCTAAAGGGAAATGTCCACACAGCTAGTCATTCCCGTCTGATTTCTGCGGGTAAATAAACATGCCACAGTTAATCCAGGTCTTGGAAAAATTATCTTAGACGCATAAAATGGCGCATCCACAGATTCAAGGTTGTTTTCGTCCTTCATGAGCTGAGTAGATAAGCGTGGGAAATACCTCCCACACTAATTTGATGTCTGAGTACTAGTCTCCCACAGAACTGAACAATACCAAGTATCCCAGATGGCTTTTGGTTTAATTAGTTGGCAAAGAACAGTACAAATTCTGTGGGATTATGTGTTCATGATGGGCACAAAATTTTGCTCAAATTGGTTTCTGACAACTGATTAAATGCCTAAAGATGAAAAGTTCATTTTGCAAAGTATTACATTTACTCAGAAAATAAAATGAAAATATTACCCATGTGCTTGCTATGTAATCCTGGCTCCTACAGAGTCTGTAAATGTTCACTGTTTACCTCTCTGCTACTGTATTCATTATTGCTCACACTAATGCTATTGACATCACTATTTAATACACTAAAGTGCTACCGCTAGGATTTGATTCCCATTACTAAGTGCTGGACAAATGTATTGGAATGACCTGTCTTCCCTCTGTGAATGGAGCATAGGAATGGGGGAGTTGGGAGACAGTGTCTCTTGTTAAATTGTGTGCTAAATTAAGCACAAAACATTTAGCAGCTCATCACCATTGTATTGCTAGTTTCACCACGGCTAATAATTTTTCAAGGAGTAACTCAACAAACATCTTGGAATACATTTTAAAAAGGAGCATTTCAGGATCTTTTGACCACCACTCATTTCAGCAGAAACATGTATTTGTAGCCCAATGGTTAGAAATAATTCCATCACATAAATGTTCTTATTTTCAGCACTGTTGGTGTATAGCTAGTTACAGAAACATCTCCAGAAGTGTCTGTGATATAAATGATCCCTACAGTACAGAGGAAATGAAATCAATGTATTAGGAACAGACTTTCATATTTTTGCAAAGTAAAATTTTGCTGTCACATTGGAATAGGAAAAATAAAATTATGATAAAAATTACATACACCTCATTTTCTATAACAGGGAATACAGGAATCTAAATGAAAGTAGCCTGACTACTGTGAAAACTAACCTGAAATCTGAAACTCTCCTTTTCTTTAACGTTTAAAAAACACTTGGCTGTTTACTGTAATAATTTTTATTCAAGCATGGTCAAAGAATGCCAGGCATGGTTTAGTATTTCTTCGTCTGTGATGACACAACAACCTAGGGACAGGGTAAGAACACCATGGACAGTCTTTCTGTGTCCAGAAGTCACAAAACAAAACTCCAAATACTGCAGTAGCAAACAGAAGTCAATGTCCTGACTGTTTTAATACTTGATTTAATCCTTCTTCCATTTCATTCTCTCAAATTCAGCAGTTTCACCTTTTTTGAGGCTGATAACCTTTTCCTCAGGTGATCAGCAAGCTTTCACTTTTGGACAAATGCCTGTAGAACAGGAGGGTCTTCATGAATCAACACCACTCTTTGGTGAACTTCTGCACACCTGCAGATAATTAGATGAGTTTTCCTTAGCTCCAGCCTAGATGACACTCACAGCAACAAGGGCATCTACATGCAGTGAAGTCTTCTTCCCTGTGGAGAAGGAGTTTCTCTGAAAATCTCTCTTCCAATCAAAGCAGAAAAGCAGATAAGTGCACAAATGTGTTAGGGTTGTCACTTCAGTCAGAGACAATCACTAACCACTCTCAGGGCTGGAAGACATAATTCATTAACGTGAGCAGACATAGAAGTTAATGTCAAATTATAAAATAATGTATTTTATTTTATGGTTTCTTTTGCTTTACTTTTTGCTTTGCACTTTTCTAGGATTGCATTCTTTTCTGGGGAGACTCATTCCTTCACATTCAACTTCATCCTGAAGAGGAAAACCTATTTCTGTGCAACCACTCAATGTAGGACTCCTGGACACCATATATCCCGCTGCTCATTGCAGAATCATTGTATGGAATAAAAAGTACTGGTCTAAATACCAGATCTGAGGAACTTTTCTTAAAAAACTGTGACACTTCACAGCAAGGTATTAACAGTGATGTTGTCAGCTGTCCTATAGATGAGCCAGCCAGCAATGCAGGTGCCTGGGGTTGCATAGCCCCCATCCAAGGCTATGGAGTTCCTGTTTGTTAGCTAGCTTTTACATTCTTACTTCCAAACAGAAACTACACACCCACATTTCGACACAAAGTGAGATCTTCCAAAAGGCACAACATGAGGAGATGAAGTACTCTCTCAGGTTAAGAAGTAGCACAGAGAAGTAGCAAAATTGCTATCCTATTTTGATTAAATTATAAATGTCAAGCATTAAAACACTAATATGGTGTTAAAACACAACAAAGGTGTTTTGTAAGGATGCTCATCAGACTTTCAAAGTATGAAGTGCCCCCGGAATGTAGGATAGTAAGGAGGGTGTTACTTATTTTTACTGCTTCTCTTATGGGTTCTCTAGATGTTACTTTCATTACCCCACAAGTTGTAGAGGAAAAAGTAGTCATCACTTTCTGGGCATAAGTCTGAAGGATCCCAGAAAAGAATGTGCCAAACTGCAACTCAGTCCAAATATTTATATATTCAGGAAATGTTACTCTTCAGATGCATACTACAGGGTCTGTATGGATGCTTTCTTTGGCAGCATTGTGTTGCATACTGTTATTTCTCATTAGCAACAACTGCAGTCTAGCTCAGGAAAACTGTAAATACATTTTACATTAGGCATTTTGTTCCTCAATTATTCACATCTTCCTAATAAAGCTTCCTGCTGTGGAAACTGTTGGACAGGAATATGTCCAAGAAAAGAGAAGGTGATCTTGAATTATTTTCCATACAAAAAGAAGTACTATATGTAACTGTAGCTATAATGAACAATGATGATTTAAAAATAATATTATGCCATATATTTGAATGATAATTTGCTCTTGTGAGTGAGACAGTGCAATGAGGCTGAAAGTTTAGACTTTTGAAAAGGTTTTACAAATACTCCATTTTTTACTACACTAATACTGACAAATAAAGCTGGTGACCATTAATGTCAATTCTGTTACTTATTTATTTAGTTGTTGAATTTTTACCAGAAGTATTTAGTCACTTGTGATTATGGGCAGACTGGAAGTCAATAAGTTTAAATTCCTTTAATTTTCCACATTCCTATCCTAACTCACGCTTTTGACCACTTCTAATCTCTAACAACCTACTGGTTTAATTACTTTAGTCTCTCATATTTCAGCTTAGAAACACATATTTAAGCTAAATAAAAGACCTCTGAGGAATTACTTCAATAGGGTTGACTTTCTCATTTTTTCTTGATCACAGTATCATGTTATATGACATCTTATCTGCAACAGGCTTCCCAATTTATTTGTTACGCAGAGATAAAGATAGTCATTATTAATACATTAGCATAGTCTTACTGCTATGATCTTCTACGGGAATGTCTATGACCATCAACTGAAGACCTACTGGTTTGTCAAATGAATGCCCCTTACACCCTCCTCTCACACCCCCACTCCCCAAACCCATCAGCTTTTTTTTCTTTTTCCATGTCTTCTCTCCTAAACCACTGGGGGAAAAAAAGAAAAAAAAAAAAAAAAAAAAAAATAGAAAAAAAAAAGAAAAAGAAAACTTTACGCCCCTTATATGCCACACCTCACACAATAACTTTGGGGTGAAGAATATCTATAATAAACCTCAAGATTCCTTGGTAATGCTGTAATGGAAACTAACAATGATGATTTAGATTAATATAATTAACTGGAATTTCTTCTCTCAACATATGTTATCAGCAGATTTGAAATTTTTAGTTATCGTAATTCTTGCCAAATAGCACCAATCTCCATTTTTCCAGCATTCAAAGCCATAACCCTATTTTCTTTAGCTGAGACGACAGACTTTATAAGCAATGTAATTTTATTAAGTTTGTTGTTAAAAATTAATGTGGAAATTAAGAAAGGTTTAAGCAGTGGGTTTTAAGGTTTATTTTTCGTTATGTCTGTTTTAATAAACCTGTATTAATATTCCGTGAAAAAAGAAATCTACAGCATCACTAATAAAACCTTTTAAGTGGTAATCCTTCAGAATCCTTCCTTGTAATGGTAGAACATTTGTAGTACTAAACCAATGAAATTCACACATGCTACAACAGAGTAGTGAAGTGATTATTACAACATTTTTTCCGAAGTACCATAGGCTTTAGATGATTAGAGAGTAGTCTTATGTTTTAAACTCTCTGCCAACAGTCAGGCTTTAAGTTGAGTTGGATCATGGATAGATTGCAGTATAATGTATGTTGACAGTTTAATAACATGGGTTACTATCCTTAGTTTGTTTTATGATGTAATACATCTTTATAGGAGTCCCCAGAGATTTCAACAATGATTTTCAAGGCCAAGAGAACTCAATAAACTAAAAGATTCTGAGCAAGATTTCTATTTCCTGTATACTTTGGACATTTTCCTGAAAAATAAATAGGTGCTACAACTTTTTAAAGTTTTTCTGACATGACTTTTTTGTTTTTCTAGTCATGTAATAGATTTTAAAAGTACCTTTCATAAAAAGTTATAAGTTTTTAAAAGTTCCCTTCTATAATGAATGGTTTTATTTTTCAGATCTCTTGGGGAATTTTCTTTTCTGTAAAACACATTAATTGATTTTATTTTCCCCTCTTTCAATTCACATTATACATGCATTAAAATGATGCAGTTTGCAAATGTTTCCAAGTAAAGGTCATGCATGTTTGGACTAATTATCTCTCGTGTTTTGACAAGTATATGCACAGCAGAGGTTAAATATCAAGGAACATAAATCTAAATAATGATATAAAATATAAGAATTATTTAATTCTTCAACTACTTTCATTTCATTTTTACAAGTAATCAGGAAAAGAAACTAATTAGAATGGAAGGAAACCATTGCTTTTAATTACATATTGGTCCAAGTGAAAATAGCTTGAAAAGATATTCAATCTTCTTTAATATTAAATAAATTCAATTGCCAGTTTTCACAATATTCTTGCAATACTAGATTTCAGAAACTACTGAAAGAAAATTCTTCATTTAATATATTTCTTTTCAGATTGTGTACAACGTGATGTTAATTTTCAGAATTATGTCTGTAGATTATGTTGTTCAAATGTTTTCAAATGCTACCCCTAACATACGATTTGCTGTGATTAGGCGTATATTTGTCTAAACGAATAGATGATTACCTAAACAATATGGTATTCTTCCCTATACCAAGTTGGCAGACCACACAGAAAATTTTTCAGGGCAATTTTTACAAAGGGTTTTCAGTATGAACAATTTGTATGAGCTTGGCTCACCAGTACTTATGACACATTATTTCCACTCACACTGTGTAAACAAAAATTTGCCCATCTGAATGTTTGCAGTAAGTGCATAAATGTAAAATGAAATAAATCTGTACAGATTTCAAATAAGCATTAACACATATTTGCCTAAAGTATGCACAGTCTATATTTTCCTTTTAAAATAAACCTATTGTAAAATAAGTCTCATTAGGAAATTTCTGAAGAGCACATTGCAAGACCACCAGTTCAGAGAAGGTCAAATAGTGTGATTACAGATACTCCTTAAAGAAAAAAAGCAGAGGCTGGAGCATCTGACCCAAAAGGTCTTTTATCTATCATTTAAATCCTTCTCTTTTCATTATCCTTTTGCTGAATCTGGCTAAGTGCTGCACCCAGTGAGCTCCCTAAAGCCTCTCAAGACAGAATCATTTTCATAGCCCCCACAGGAGAAACATTTATATTTTTCACCATCAGTAGTCACACTGGCCTCTTGCCAAGAGCCTGAGGGCCATGCTTAATTGACATTCACATCTACATACATTGTCATCCCTGGAAAATAGAAGCACACACACAGCCATGACGTTTGCTTAGGCTGGTATCACTGACAAGATGTGTCTGACTGTTTGAATTCTCTGAAAACCAGTGCTTTGCCTCCACCTCACTGCTGCACTGCACCACCATGGACAGTATCTGAGCATCCTGCAAGCCACAAACATCTACAGCATCAGAAATTAATGGGACAAGACATCTAACAATCCTTAGCAAACCATGCATACGAATTGGTGCCAAATGGTAAAAAATCAGATTCCTCAACCCCACAAACCACTGTTGAAACACACTATTGATAAAACTTTGACCCTGTAACCATAATGTTGGCAGCTTACTGAGGCTTCCTGGGTTTACTCTTTTTTTTTTTTAACCTGCAATGAAAATGAAAATCCTACCTAGCTCCCTGCTAGTCATAAATTAGATGGTTCTTCCTATTTGTGTTGTTGGGCTTGATGCATGACTGGTAGACTTCATTATTTCTTCTGTGACTGATCATATCTCTTACTCTGTCAGTGCATCTCAAGAGGAATGCCAAAGCCAAGTGCTCAAGCCAAATTTCACTGAGGTAAAATAATGATTTTTAGTAGAGAAAATTATTATTATTATAAAATTTACTTTACCTGAAATTTATCTTGTGCATATATGCACATCTACCCATCCCTTTTATTACTGTGTTAAGACATGTGCCTTTTTATATGTATCACATATGTGATAATTCCCTCTTGACCAGCACGCAGGCAACTCCACTGGGACTCTCTGGGGCCAGGATCACAGCTTACTACAGTTTCACCTACAAGAGTGTCTGGGAACAGGCAGTAGCACCTTGCATATTCTGCAAATCATTACATAGAGAAAATGCAGTGCTCAGCTTACCAGTCATCACTGTGCCGCAGACTGCAAATCTCATTTGCCCTCTGCATTATCATGGATATATATTCCAGGATCAGGTCTCAGTCTCTGGACCACTAAAATAAAAAGTCATTATATTCAATCTAGGTAGAACAAAAAAACAACCAACCAACCAAACAAAACTAAAAACCAAACCAAAACCCAACAAACAACAATAGTCAATTAAAAATTAACTCTGGAAATGAGATGGAGCAACTTCTTACTCTATTACATAATATTTCTGGAAATGTTAAGAACAAGTAAGTGTGAGTTATTAACCTGTAGGTTTCTTTAAGCTTCTACAGAGAATTTTTTTTAAATGGTTTCAGAGAACTGTATGAAGTCAATCTTACAAAGCCCATTTAAAAATGTGATGGAAAGCTGAATTTTGCCTGCCTGACTTCTTACCCCTTCCAAAAGCACCATCTTCACAGCTGAAACCATACAACTACTGATATCAACATTTGCAGAACCTACATCTAACATCTGATATACTTGAGCCTAAGTAATTGAAGCATCAAACCCTTCAATATGCAATCACTTGGTAAATATGCTCAATCCCATCCCTGGAGCTTTTTGCAGATAACAGCAAATTAGTGCCAGACACCTGAGTCAGTGATCTTCACTCTCTGTCTTACATCACTAATAGCTGACAAATCTGCTTTGTTGAGAAGAAGTGAAAAGCAATCAGTACAGGACTTCTCCGTGCGAAATATTTATTTGGGCAAAAGAAGTTATCACTGTCACTGCAACTGAGTGACAGTAAACCAGGGAAGTACCTTGGCCGGTGTATGGGATAAGCACAGGAACTAAGGTTTATGTTCATAAGATTGAAACATTCAATCAGTTTCATTGTAAACTCAATCCCCCGAGCAGGTTTATATGGGATCCTAGGTAGGAGTTTTTCAGCCTCCAATTATTGCTATATCTGATCTAGTAGACTACCCAAAGGAAATATATCAATACTGAAGAAATGAGTAATATGGCCACAGAAGAGGGGTTGTCTGTAGATACTTGAGTCTCACAAAGTGGTAGTGCAACAAAACGTTGATGCATCAAATATGTAAATTATTATATTACAATTATAGAAGTCATTGCAAAGGATTAAAGACATAACTGGCAGAGTTCCTACTAGTTAAATCTAATCTCCAGCAACACATCAGCTGTAGCTTGGCTTGTCTTGTTAGGTAAACAAAATGTGTCTTGACTGTCAGTGCCATAAAATATTAATGCACTGGAAGTCTCTAACCCTTGCTAAGCATAAGGCCTATTATCACACTTAAGAGCAAAGCAATCTAATAAATCGCTGGCTGTATAAAAACTAAGTCAGCTGGCAGAGACAGTCATCTCCCTAAGGGATATTAAGAGAGTAATCTTCAGCTACAGCAGCTGCAGTTCCAGAGAAATTATGTTTCTGCTGCTCAGTAGAAATACATTTGTGCTGAATTCTGTTATTTGAACTCTAATGGAATCATTAGGAGTACCCATACGTTATCTAAAACACAAGATGAACTAACAAAAACATCTATGACATAGGTTTACTATAGGCATAATTTTTTTATTATTGTGCTTGCTCTTTGTTTTCTTTAGTTACATCCAAAGACAAGCTGAACTGCATGCTCCTAACACACATTTTCCAGCAGCATCAAACTCATACATAAATAATCTTCTGTGTTTACTGAGCACTGAGACGATGTCCTTAATTGAAAACAACTTACTTGTTTGGCATTGGTATGAGGTCCTTGAGGCTGTATTTAACCATAAACACAATGTTGTCATATACTTTGTAACAGAACAGATAACATCATGATTATGTTATTTTTATGGTGTACTTAGGCAACATACTGTGTGATTCAAAGAAACAAATCACCAGAGACATACAAGACTGCACATACAAAATCCCTCTGCCAGAATATTATCAAAATTATTTATTTGTTATGTCTGGTATTAGTAGACAATTAATATGCCCTCAAAATGGACCAGAACAACCCCTAAATAGTGGAAATTACATCTTTAGATGATATTAAAAGATTTCATAGTAGGAATGCATGCTGAAAAAAGAATGTTAAAATATGCTACAAGCAAGAGTTGGTTGTTCGTGAAGAAGGTCTTGATGCTATATGTGACAAAAGAAATTCTTTTCTACTCTACTTGCTTGGACATTTTCCATTCAATTCTATTTTAAGTGCATATTAATAACTTAGAGGGTGAACAGTTTAGATTTAGTGTAAATTTTATGAAACCAAAATCTTTTTTTCTTGAGCACTGGATTCTATCTATTTGGCCCCACACAAAACTGTGAAATAGTTGAATCTCAAAAGGACATGGGTAATTCAAGCCCTGCTTAAAGTACTGTCAAT